GCTATTCTTTTGATCACCCACAGGGGACGAAACGGTAAGGTCCATCCGAGTTTTGTGGGGCTACGGACGAGTAAATGAACCTCCGACCCGCAGAGGGCCACCGACGCGTGGATGGGGAATTGCTTAAATCCGTTTGTCGGCAACAAAAGGTAGCGCGACCCCCCAACACAACGCCGAAATAACGACAAACGGTGGAAAACCAAACGCGCGCGACACCAAAACGCAAACGCAAAAACGCAGAGTTTCCACGGCGTCATCAATGACAACCATGTATCCCCCCGCCACCACCAACCCAATCCTTATCACCACCGCCACCGTTTGTGCCCGTGCCCAACCGCCTCCCCGCCCCAATCACTCCCAAAACATATCCTCCCACCACCAACCCAACCCCCACCCCCCAGCCACCCACCCCACCAACGCCCCGCTACCCCCACCACCATGCCCCACATCCACGCCCCCGACCACCACGCACGCTAGCCCCACCACGCCATCCCACAAACCCGCCCACCACGCCATGCATTACGCACCCTGCTCCCGCCCGCCCACCACCGCCGCCGCCACCATTGCCCGCGCGCCCTCCACGCCGCTCGCCAAATCCCGAACCACGCGCCCCCCCCCCCCCCCCCCCCACCCCCACCCCCACCACCCACCCGCCCCACCACGACCACCACAACATCCCCCAAGCCCACAACGCGCGCGCCATCCCGCCGCGCCCATCGCGCGCCTGCCCACCTCCCTACCCACGCACGCACGCGCGCGCCCACCTCCCGAGCCCAAGCAACAACGCACCCACGCACGCACACGCAAGCGCACTGACCGACGCACGCGCCCACGCCACCCCACCCCACCAACCCGCCCACCCCATCCACCAAAGCACGCACACGCGGGCGCAAGCGCGTGGGTGCAGGGGCGAGCGAAGTGGGGCTGGGCGTGGCGGGCGCTGCGGTGGCGGCGGTGGGGAGCGCGGGCGGTCGCAAGGAGAAGGAGTTGCGTGCGCGTGGGAGCGGGCGGTAAGTTGGCAAGGGCAGGTGCTTGGGAAATAGGCGCAGCGGTGCAATGCTGGCGAGCGGTAATGTTCTGGGTGGTGTAAGTGCGTGGGGGAGGTGGGATCGATAGAGCGAGGGGCGAGTGGGCGAGCTGGTGAGCGACGGCTCAGGCGCGCATGGGGCGCGCGGATGGGCGTGGCAGGCGGTGGCGCGCGCGCGAAAAAGGGAGGTGAGGCGGTGGCTGTTGGGACGGGAAGTGGGAGGGGCGGGGGCGCATGCGGGAGTCTGGGCAACTCGCTCAAGGAAGAAGCGACTCCCAACTCGCCTCGCATTTGCGATGTTGACGCGCGACTTCGCCTGCTGGGCTCGAAGTTGAAGTCGACTGTCGACGTCGACGGTTGACGTCGACGTGCCCTGTTGACTGGCCCACCTGCTGTTGACGCCCCTAGTTGACTGCGCCTGTTGACGTCCAGACGCAACTTGACGCGCCCTGTCGACTGCGCCTGTTGACGTCTTGACGCGCCTAGTCGACTGTCGACGTTGACGGTTGACGTCGGCGTCTCGTGTTGGGGGTGCCAGTTGATGTGCCCCGCTGGAGTCAACTGCGCCCCCCCTCGTTCGCCGCCGCGAGTTAAGTTCGCGCGCCGATGTCGCGGACACTTGGCGCCTCCAACACGGCGCGGTGGCAGGCGCGAGGTGGCTTGTAGCACATGCGCCGTGCGTTGCTAGCCAGAGCAGTAATTCTGGCAGCCGCCGCTGTTTTTCACAGCGCGCGATCAAGTTATGACCAGCCCTGGGAAACGCGACGCCGCGGGGGTGCGCGGAATATTCGGAATGCCGCGCGGGCGACGCGCTGGCTGCGCAAGGTAAGTTCGCGTCGGTGCGGCACGTCCAGAACGCGCTCTTCTTTTGGCTCATCGGCGAACCTAAACCGCACCGACGTTGCAACGGCCATCTAGTGATCTCGGTTGCGCCTGTGAGGTGGCGAGCGATGGCGCGCGTCGCGCGCGCGTGGACGAACTCGGAGGGCTGGCGTGATCACGGTGGCGGTGTTTGGAGATGAGCGAGCGAACATGCGTGCGCGCGAGCGAGACACGGGGGGGATGCGCGCGCGCGTGCGTACGCGTGAATGCGCCCGCGGGCAAGCGCGAGCCTTCGCGCGCGCGAGTGCGTGCGCGCGGCGGTGGCGGGCGCGCAGCGTGGGGGCACGCGACGTTGTCGGGCGGGTGGAAGGGGCGAGCGGCGCGCGCGCGAGGCGAGCGAGCGTCGAGCGGGCGCGGGCGGGTCGGTTGGCGGGCGAGCGGCGCTGGGCGCGAGGACGTCTGCGGCGATAGCCATGCGCGAGGGGGGGGGTCCAACGTGTGTCCCTGCATTCGTTCAGCGCGCATGGGGTTCCGCTTCCCCGTCGTGGCCGCGCTTGGGGGCTCGGTGGGAGCGTTGGCGAAACGGGGCGCGGTGGCGTTTGATGGTCGTGCCAAGCGGGGGTGGCGGCGACGGTGGCGGTGGCTCGGGATGGGAAGTGGTGATGCGCCGATGCTGGGAGGGTGGAAGCGGCGCGATCTGGCGCGACGGGCGGCGCTGGGGAAGAGGGGGGGGGCAGCGCGCAGCAGTGGCGGGCGGGCTAACTGGCGTCGGCGGCGGCGGTGGCGTGACAAGACATTTGGGGTGAGGGAATGGAGCGGCGGCGGGCAATCAAGTCGGGGCGGGGCGAGCGGGGGCGCGCGCGCGGCGGCGATGGCGGTGGAGGCGGGGAGCTTGACATGTGGATGCGTGGGTGGGGATGGAGTGAGGTGCGTGGTGATGTAGAGGGTGGTGGTCGCGGTGGAGGGGGGGGGCGGCGGGGGGAGGGCGGGTTGGGCGGGGCGGGGCGGCGGGGCGGGGGTGGGTGGGTGGGTGGGTGGGCGGGAGGGGGGGGGGGGCTTAGCTCGCGCGTGCGAGCGAGGGGGGGAGGGGGTGGAGGCGGTTGGCGTGGCGCTCGCGCGTGTGAGAGTTTTGCGCGTGAGCGTGCGCGTGTGCTTGCGTGCGTGCGCGTGAAATGCGCGTGCTGGCATTGGATCGCGCGCGTGCATGGCGTGCGCGTGGATGCGCGATGGGGGGCGAAGAGGCTGGGTGGGGGGGGGGGGCGCGCGGCGAGTTGCGCGGGCGGGCAGCGGCAGGCTGGGCGCCAGCTGCGACGGCGCGCCGCGCGGGCGCGCCACGGAGCGCCACGGCAGACGGGCGCTGCAACGTCAGCGGCGGAGTCTTCTGGGTGCGCTCACGGGGCCGTTAGCCCGAATAATGCGCAGGGGGCGCGCGGCGCAAGCCGCGCGCGAGGAGATGTTGAGTTCGCGCAGCCCTAAGCCTTCAACGTAAGCGCGCAGCTTGCGGCGACCGAGACCGCGCAATTGCCGTCGATTCGGCGATGCGGGCGTTCGGGTCATGAGCGGCTGGCCTCCCGCGTGGCAGCGCAGTTGTTGCGAAAGAAGCAAGGGGGTACGCGACGTTTACGCTGCCCGCGCCCAGAGAAGCAACGGTGATTTCACGGGGGCGGCAATGTCCACTAGGGCAACGAAATCGCCGACGGTTGAGCGTCGGGCGATCCGCCGAGCCCCATCGGGGCGCGCCATAAGTGCCCTGTTGCCCCCTATGCGTGAAGGTCGCGGTCGACTGCGCGGCCGCGGAACACCCCGCGCGGGGCAGCCAGCACTGTGCCAGGCGGCGCGTCACCAATGCCAATGACGTTACTGGCGATCCGTGCGCTAGAACTTCGCGGCCGCGTAGCCTCACTTTCCGCAGCCATATCACGTTGCGCATGGCTTGGTCTGGATCAAGTGGCTATCGTTCGCGCGCAGCGCGCGCGTGGCCGACTATCGCCCCCGACCCCCCCCCCCACACGCCAACCTTGAACGCGGGCGTTCGGCGGAGAGGTGGCCGATAGATAAGCGATAGCAGCGAACAGCGCGTTCACGGGGCACTCGAAGCTGCGCGTGCCGACGTGCTTCTTTTAATACCAGTTAGCTTAAGCGTCTCAGCAAGCTTGCGCGTTGACCTTGAAGGAAGGCACACCGCGACGGAATAACTTTAATTGATTGCGAGCCGAGTGTCCTTTAACCGCCCCCCATCGCACCCGCCATTACCTTCTTCGCCGCGCCCAGTCGCGAAAGCAGACAGCCCAGCATTTGTCGCGACATTGGCGGGCGGCGGCAGGTCGGGGGCAGGCGGTTGGGGCAGCTGCCTCAGGGATGTATCACCTACTTGTTCGTGGGCAGGCAACGCAATAACATTGAAGGCCGAAAGCTTGGGGTGCCAAGCCAAGTTCCCACTCGTACTCAGACTCACGCGTGCGCCGACTTGTTCATTCGCAGACTCATACACATTCGCACTTCGCCACGCTCAGGCCTAGCTACACATGGTTGTTTTCGTTCGGCTTTACGCGCGCTCAGGCCCACCCATGCACCATGCCGCCTCAAAATTCAGACAGGATAGCACTACGGTCCACGGGCGCACAGGTGGATTCTCATACGACGTCATTCGGCAAAACTTCTCCGCCCTCTCTCCCCCCTCCCCCCTCTGGCGGCGGGGCAGGGCGGCTGTCGTGGAACGGTTTGCCGCGCGCCGTGCAAGGCGCATGAAGGGAGGGCGGCCGGCGACTACGACGACGAATAATGAGGCGTCGTCGTCAAGGATGTTTTCGTCGTCGTAGTCGCCGTCAGCTTCGTCGGGCTCGGCGTCTTAACTACTCCCACCCCGCCTCCCCCAACCCTGGTTTGAAACTCATCGGGTGTGCGTTGAAGTCTCGTCGGGGCCCCTTCGGGAGACTCGCTACAGCCAGTTGGTGGCATCTTGGGAACCGCTGAGGGCTCGTTTGGTGGGATCTCTTGGGGGCTCTTGGTGGTCCCTTGAGGGGCCCAGAGTTATCCTGAGGGGGTCTCTTGGGGGCCTCTTGGGGGGTCTCTTGAGGGCCCTGCTGGGGGGGCTCAGAGTTATCTTTTTTTTTTTGGGGGGGGGCTCTTGAGGTCTCATTTTTCTGGTCAGTCACTTCGCAGCAGGCTTCTTCGCATACCACCTGCTCCTGGCCGAATCCATGTGGATGCGCGCCTTCTCGCGCCTCTGGTCCTTGGAATCGCCGTCATTGTTGGGGTCGCCCCCGAAGAGCCACTTGAACAGCTCCTGGTCCGCAGGGCGCCGCGTTTCTGTGATGCATAATGAACATCCTGTGTGACGGTAGCAAGTCACGGTAACGCTCTTGGCAGGCCGACCCCGCTGAATCCCCATGATAGTTCGGTTCTTGTACGCCACGAATCCGCTCGCACTTGGCTCCCCAAGTTGTTCCCAAGGCTGCGGAGGCTCAGCAACATCTTCGGCAAGAGGCCCATCTTCAACTCCAGCGTCGGCGCCGCCACTGGGGACATCAGCGCCGCCAGCTGCGTCCTCATACATCTTGGCAAGCGCCCCGACATGAGCAGGATGGGGGTCGTCGAGGTCGATCTCGCCATCGTCTGGACGTTCGTCATGGTGGTCTTCTTGGTTGCCGCCCCAGGTGTCGAGCAGCTCTGTCATGTCGTCATCGCCGCCATGGATCTCTGCGTCCTCCTGGTCCGCCACGTCCATCTCGTCGAGAGCGACCGCGAACTCCCCGTCCAAAGCACCCAGCTGAAAGCCTTCGTCGGCACCTGCGTCGGCGGCCCCTGCCGCGCCGAGCGACGCAGCCACGGCCGCATCGCTGCCCAATGCTCCTTCGGGTCCTCCTGTAACTGCTGCTGCGATCGGGCCGCATGCACTTGTCGGATCGACTTTCCCATTGGCAGCCTTGGTCGATGCGGCGCACGATGACGACGTCTTCGCCGTGTCGCTGGATGGGTTCAGGGGGTCGTCCGTCTTCATTTTCTTGAAGGTCGAGGCGCTGGTGTCCTTTCGCTTAGCGGCCGCGCTGCCCAGTGGGACGCGCAAGCCTTCCTTCCACAAGGTGCCGAGAGCGGTCGCGGACTTCACCTCCACCCACAGAAGAGTACCGTCCACGTCGATGGGGCCCCACTCCACCTCGCAAAGCTCCATCGCCGAGAACAACTCACAGCACTCGCGGACAAACTCATCGGACGTCTGCGCGTTCACGACTTTGAACTTATCACTTATCCTTGATGCCCGCCCCTCCAAGACAGCCCGACGAGGGCAAAGTAAAGGGCGATCGCTGTCCGACGAAGCTCTGTCCCATCTGTGGCGTGCGAAATCAAACACAAGAGGTGAAAAACATGACCCGATGACTTGGACGAGTAGCCGATGATAAAGACCACCACCAGCAATGCCCGGGCCCTCCACTATCAACATAACGTCGCCAGACTCCACCTTGGTCCTGTTCAGCCTGGCAATGACGTTGCTGATGCCCTTCTCGACCAGCGTGAACTTCAACCTCCCCCCCGCGACCTTCATCGGGTTCACGTTGTGGGGTCGAGCTCCGAGGCTCCACAGATTCGTGCTCTTCGAAGGCCCGAAATCCACGAAGTAGTTTGCCTTGGCGAGGCCCTCCTCGTGGTTGGCGTCGGTGACGTCGGCATCGCCTGGCCAACCTTTTGAACCCTTGATGTGCTTGCAGAACTCGTCGCTGCTGATTGGCGAGACGAAGCTCCCGCCCCCCCACTGCTGCACGTACTTGTAGGGGCGCTCTCGTTCATGATGTTGTTGCTTCTCTCGCACCCACTCGTCGTACGCCTCGTTGTGGCAATCTTTGTCGGCGACGTTCTCCCAGAAGACATGGAATTCCTCCGTCACCTGTTTCACCTCCTCATCGGTCATCGGAGAGTCTCTCAGCGCCCTCGCAGCACGCAGCCACTGGTTCTTCTCCAACAAGTAAGGGTTGAGGCCAGGTGCAAACCTGCCAGTACTATTAGTACTTGGGTTCTCGTGCGGAAGGACGTCGATGCACTCCGATACCGTTCGACAAGGTGGGAAGATTGGTCCGCCTTGGTCCCCGACAGGAACGACAGCGACGCCATCCTCGGACACCTGCGCCGCGGCGCCTGGGCCAGCTGGCAGCGCCGCCGCAGCCGATGAACCCGCCAGCTCGGGATGGACAAGGGCCGAGTCGGTGGCGGCTTGTGCCATGACGCACTCCACTGCGTCAGAGGGGTCGCACAGCAACAGTGGGCGCTCGATCTCCTCCATGCTCGAAGTAAGTGGCTTGTTGATGGGTCTCGTTGGATGCCGCCCACCGTTTGAGACATGAATCGCGGCCGCTTGGCTCAGAAGGTTCCTCCTCGCCGCTTGAGTGAAATTGGTCGCTGGAGCTCGCTTAGGCACGCCATGGGTGATCTCAGAGTTCAGCCTCTCAATCACGTCAGTGCTGAAAGCGTGCGTCATGAAATATGACCTGAGAAGGGACTCGCACTCCTTCGACCCCAACTCCTCCTTAGTAAACAGTTTGCGGATTCCGCGGCTGTACAGGTCCAGCTCGTCGCCGTCGGCAGCCAGTAGGTGCTCGATGCAAGGCGCTTTCTGCTCTGCAGTGGTAGTACTAAGCGATAGAACGTGCATGTCGTAAGGCTTGGACGAATACTTCGTTTCGTAACGCCTGAACACAACGCCAGCCAATCTCAAGTCTGCTTGCGAGCGAAACGCATCACGGCAGCACTCTGAACTGGGATGCCCATCATGTCGAGGACGCACCATGGGCCCCTCCGATCGCCTCCTTGCCGCCAAGCCTCCATGCTAGCGAACAGCCTCTCGGAGCACTGACCTATGAGGCTCGTGTTCTTGCGCAACAGCTTGTCCAGCTTGCTCGCCTTGCCCTTCTCGCCCATCTCGTTTGTCACATTCGTGGGGTCGCCCAGCATCGGGTACAGCAAGTGGAAGTCGTAGATGCCAACCAGCACGGTAAGTATCGGGAGCTCCATCATGTGTTCACCGTTGTTGTAGTACTCGGCAGTCTTCTTGACGCGGGACTGCTTGAGCTTCTTTTGGTAGTCGTCGGTTGCCTCCATGTCGACTGTCGTCTGGCCATCCACGGTGTCAGGCAGGTCCCCAACCGAGACGTCGAAACACTCCAGACCAACGTTGAAGACGACACGTCGCAAACACAGCATGCGAAAATTTGGCAATAGATGAGTCCATCGGCTCTCGCCTGGGATCGGGCCGGCCTTGCCGAACATGCAATTGATGCAAGCAACCACTGTGCGATGCTTGCAATCTTCCAGGCTCGCGCAACACGGTTGGTCACCATCTCCAGACGAGCAGTAATGCACCCACTCCGCATTCGGGCCGAGGTCGCAGTTGACCATCTCGCACAGATGTTCCACGTCTCTGTAGAATTGTGAACGACGTTCGTGGTTATGTCCCCGCCTGTGGTAATTAGCTTCGAGGTCGAACACTATGCGAGCGAATGTGCGCAATGCTGTGCCAGTTCGGGGCTCTGCTGAAACTACTCGTTGAACTTTGGCCCGAATGTGAACCTCCAGCATCGATACCATGCGTGATCTGATGTCGGGGAGACGATACAAACTGGCGATGCTGTATGACCGCATCGTGTGAAGTCTAAGCTGCTTCAATGAAAATTTTCCTCTGTGGCGAAGATGAACTCCGCAACAATCTGCCCAATAAAGAATTTTGTTGCCCACCTCTGGCGCTGCAGCCTGCATCTGAAGCAACGTGTATCCCCAGTGGCGTAGCAGCACCAGGTTCCCAGAGGCTTTGTCGCACATCGGCATTATTGTAATATGGCTGCAAGACCGTGCTGTACTCACAAGCTCGTCCAACTTGCACACGTCGAATTGGAGCGGCATCTGTCGCTGAATCCCTGGAAGCATCTCGGCTGCACTCGCACCCTGGATAGTAATCGGTCGTGCCAACCACACCTCAGTAGTTGAACTGCTCTGGGACGTCTTCTCACCAAACAGCGTGAACCTGATGTACGAACGCTGCGCCATAGTCTGAACATGAACTCCCATATTGGTCTGCCGTCCTTTTGTTTCATGCTGTCTGTATCGAACTCTCGTCTCGTCCCACAAGTGCGTGTATGAAATGTGCGCCTGCACACCGCCCACCAAATCGACGATGGTCTTTGCATTGGCGATCATTGCGGCGAGCCCGTCTTTTTGTTTGTTCTGAATGCACGTCGCCGCTGCTGCGATCACTCGCTGGTGCTTCACGCCCAGCGCTAGACACGATGATGGTGGTAAAAAACATGCCCGATTGAGTACAATGAAATCTGCTGGCTCCAAGAGGTCAATGCGCTTCCTGCCGATGTTCTTGGACTTCGAACCCAAAATCCTCGATACTGATGGGACCAACGATGTGGCAGCATGAAGTCGAGTTTCTGCTGATGCCAGTTGCTTGGTCATATGAAGGATCACTCTCTGGTCGTATTTTGCCTTCTTTGCCGCTCGAGCGTGTGCGATGTGTTGCCAACTTCGGTTCGTGAACTTGCGCTGCTCAATCTGCATTGGCACGAGGGCGGCAGGAGGGATGATGATCTGCAGGCTGTCCTCTGCCTCTGCTATCATAGGGATGTCCAGCCTCTGTGGAATGTCGATCTGCGCTGCGTCATCTGATGATGGAAGGTCTTGTGGAATGGCCAGCGCAGGTGGAAGGTCGATCTGCGCTGCAACGGCAATGTCTGGACAGGCTGCGCTGCAAGGTCGATCGGGCGGCGATTCAACGTGGCTCATGATGATGAGCGAGCTGCATATATGGAGGTGTGCCAAGAGGCACACGGAACATGAAAATCTATATGGAATCATCTTTGGAACTCTTGGCGGCCAAAATGGCTATGGACAAGGGCTTCACGCCCTGGCGGTGTCCGTCCCGCAGGCAACGTGTGTTTTCCAAAGGTGTGCTATTGCAGAGTCCCCTTCTGAAGCCGACTGCCCCCCCAATGGATTTCCGAAGAAAGGCCCATGGGCCCCTTTGATTTGGAGAACGCCCCGAATGCATTTATCATGGGCCCCATGGTGGAAATAACAGTGGGGAGTGCAGGGGGGGGCGGGACTGGAACAATATTTACTTTCGTTAACGTACTGCACGACTTTCCCTACAGGTGACTCTCAACTCGGCATGGCCACAACGATGTCTCATGTACAACTTTGATGTTGGATGTGTGCCCCCTGCCTGCTGTAGTAGTACAATGCTCCCCCAAGACTTATGAGCTCTGTCCTACACGCGTTTATATCATGTCATCCTCATCCTCCTCTCTGTCTGCTCCTGCAACCACTCTATCCCGACGGGCGCCCTACAACGCTCATGTTGTTTAACAATGCTTATCGCGCGGTGGGCTTCGTAGGCTCAAGACTTATCAAGACGGCCTCGAGACGGCTCAAGACAGCCCAAGGCGGCCCCAACATTTCCCGAAGAGGGCCCCAATCGGACCCCAAGGCGGCCCAAGATGGCTCGAACACTTTGCAAGCGACAAGCAACGCCGACAACAGTTCGAAGTTGACGGCCCGAGGGCGCGCATCAATCAGAAGTTGGTGGCCCTAGCGATTTCCCCTCTTGACGCACCCACCGTGGTGCGTTCTCCAGAGTGAAGGGGGGGTCAGCCCCCCAGACGAACCCAATCCTTGGGGCGCCAGACAGAGCCGGGAACCGGGAATTTGAGCTTTTCCAGCCTCGATCTCTCCAAAATCATGGTTCCCGCCATCCTCTGGGCCCCCTGGGGCGCCAGACAGAGCCGGGAACCGGGATTTCGGGCTTCTCCCGCCTCGACCTCTCCAAAATCATGGTTCCCGCCATCCTCCGGGCCGCCGTGAGTCCCAGGGGCGCCAGACAGAGCCGGGAATCGGGATTTCGGGCTTTTCCAGCCTCGATCTCTCCAAAATCATGGTGAACCTTCCGAGAAGGCCGCGGCGCCCGATGCGGCCTTTCAGAGCCGCCGGATCTCCGAGATCCTCGATGCATCCCCACCCGGCCCTGTCCTCGCCCTGGCCTCCTCCTCCTCCTCCTCCTCTTCCTCCTCCTCCCCCTCCTCCTCCTCCTCCTCCTCCTCCTCCCCCTCCTCCTCCTCCTCCTCCTCCTCCTCCTCCTCCTCCTCGTCGTCGTCCTCGTCCTCGTCCTCGGCGGCGGAGGGCCGGCTGGCCAGGCCAGCGGCCCGTCGCAGTGCGGGGCCGCGGCCGCCGCGGGCTCCGGCGCCGCGCCGCAGCGGGAGGTGCTCCGGATCACGCGGGGTGCCCGCCCCCGCCCCCCGCGGCCCGCGCCGCCCCGCGGAAGCTCCCGCGGGCCATGCCCCGGAGCACAGGCACAGTCCATGTGGTGAGAACACCCGGTGGTGAGTTTAGGGCGATTTGGGTAATGGTTTTCGAGCGCTGGCTGGCCCAGGAAACGCAAAACCTCGTGGCGACCGCGTGTCCCCAAACCCGGTGGTGACCCAGAATTATTTTTTGGGGGAATCGGGGTCACCACCGGGTGTCTCACCACCTGGTTTGGAGACCACCAGTACTCTGCACGAGCGAGATGGGCACGGAAAGAATGGGTACGATGCCCAACAGCAGTTCCTGTTCATCGTGAACAGGACTCGCTGCCCGCGCCGTCGCGGCCTGTGCCCATTCGAGACAGGAGGCCGCCCGCCCAACAGCGGCCGCTGTTGGTTTGGGACAACACTTGCTGTTGGGCATTGTACCAATTTTTTCGGTACCCATTTCGGGCGTCCAAAATTACCAGCCTCGAACGTATCCCTATCCCTAAGATTGACACGCCAAAATGCGATGACAATCCCAGGGAGGCGCCCTCCAAACATAAGGGAATCCCTACGATTGGCATCGTGATGAGGAGATGCCCAGCATAGGGATAGGGATATGTTCCAGGCTGGTAAAGTCCGGGCTGAAGTCGGGCCTGTCCCTCTAGACTTTTTCGGGGGTGGACAGACCCCCTACCCTGCACGTCGATTAAGGAATTGGCCGTTTTCGGTTCGCGAAGAGGGCTTCGCGGCCGTCATTTTTGCGGGTCCAGGTCCGCCAGTTTCGGTCCAAGGCCGTTTTCGCTGAGGGGAGGTTTACTAAAGGGAGGTTTGTCCACCGCCGATTTCTGATGTTCCAACCGACTTTAGGCCTTGAGCACCAGAAACGATTTCGAGCGCACCCCAAAACTCTAGGGTTTTCACGTGTCGGGCCCTGGGAGACACTCGCCCGACACTGTTTCGACACTCTTTTGACACTCTTCTGGGTGCTCGAAATTATTTCTGGGATGTGGTCCTTAAGTCGGATGGGAACAACATAACTCTAGTTTAAGAGTAATAGTTCAAGAACAGTTCAATAATGTTCAAACATGAAGGTCTCCGTGAGCCTATGGCAAGCTCGTGTCGTGCCGACTTCGGCGTTTGTCTCTGACACCGCGGGGATCGTCCGAGGATAACAAGCGTCGTGTTGGGAGGAAGGGGTTGGGAGGATGAAGGGTATGAGCAATTGCATCCGGATGCAGTGCCTGTCCCTCTACAGGTGATATATTCAAATATAGTTGAAGAATAGTCTTGAGGCGAGCTTTCGACATGTTATCTACCATGTCTGGGTATCTCTTGGCAATTTGTATTTTCCTTCGACATCTGCCTGTAGAGGGACGCACCCGACCTAAATCCAGGCCTCCCAGATGGGGTCGGAGGAGCGCGCCGCATCGCCGATGCATCGCCAGTGCGGCTCGATGTGAAACCCGATTAGCTTCACGTCGACGTCGCCGATGTATCGGCGATGCTGCGCGATCCGACCCCATCTACTCGGACCCAACTTAGGAGGCCTCTACACAAATAGTTCGAGTAAGGTATCGGCTGCGAAGTTGATATATCCCCAAAGTGAAACTCGCGTCGAATCTACAAATCAATACGTATACTGTTCACGTATCTATCCGAGATTTGGCGAGAAGATCCATTTTGGGGTAAATATTTTCTGTAGTCGTGGATTTCTATGAGACAGATGGAAGAGATGGTAACTCGGGGGGAAGACGAGCGTCCAGAAAATCCGCCGACCCCCGTCGGCGTGTGCGAGGGGCTTGTCTATTCGAGTCGTCGTCTCCGTCACTCGTTGTCTCCGTCGGTCGTCCCTTTCCCCTGGACCCCCGCGAGAGAAAAATCTAGCAATGTCGGAATCGAGTCGAAGGGAAGCCCCTTCCTTTGAATCCCTCCCCCTTCGGGGGGTGGGTGGGGGGTGGGTGGGGAGGTCCCGGGGAGGGCAGGGGGGGGGTGTAGCGTCCCCCCCTGGGAGTCCCGGGGCCTCAGAAAATACCAAGATAGGCCGAGAATGCCCCCAGAGGCCCCCGAGATGGTCCAAGAAGGCGCCCATCGCCAAACTATCGGTCCAAGCGCCCAAGCGCCCTAAAGGAGCCGCAAGGAAGCCCGGGGAGGCTCCCAAAAGGTTCGCCAGACACCTCCCCAGCTTCGTGGGGATTCTTGGACACCTCTTTGTTGCCTGGGCACTCTTGGTTGCGTCTGATCTTGGCCTTCCCGCATGCCTCTTCTTCCATCGTTGGGGTCGTTGCCCAGGGACTGCGGCACCGGCCGCTTATGCGGCGATGGCGCGCCGGCGACGCCGGCGAATGCGTTCAAGGTTGAACTCCGCGACGCGGAAGCACCGAGGGACACGGTGATGCCACTGGGACACGACAGAATTCGAACCGGAACGATTTGGGCCGCGATCGATTCAAGGCTGAACGATCGACGCGGTGTCAAAAACCACTCGCGCGCGTCGACGCCCCGCGAACCTAGTCTTTGGACGCCCGAAATGGTTACGGAAAAAATGGGTACAATGCCCAACAACGAATGTTGTCCCAAACCAACAGCGGCCGCTGTGGGGCAGGCGGCCTCCTGTCCCAAATGGACACAGGCCGCGGCGACACCGACAGCGAGTCCTGTTCACAATGATCAGGATTTGCTGTTGGGCATTGTACCCATGTTTTCCGTACCTACTTCGGGCGTCCAAGTAGTTTGTGGAAACGCATGGGGGATCTTGGGGTCTGTGTCTGTCTACCTGTGTGCCCTTGGGCCCCGTCCGTGCAGCCCGTGGCCAGATCTAAGCCGGGCCGTAGCCATTTTGTCGCAAGCGCCTATGTCGCCGAAGGCAGAGGCAAGGGCAGCATATTCCCGCATACTCTGCATTCCCATCTCCGATTAGCTTCCATCCCATACGCTTTGATCTATACGTCTGCTTGCTTGATCTCGTGGAAACATGTCGTCCCCACCTACGTCGAAGCACACTCGCAGGGCCGGCGCACCCGTCAAGGACGCCCTGAAGCCCCTCTCGGGGAGAGCGAAGCAACACAGGATCCACAGCCCACTCCATGAGATGGACTGGCCCTCCGACGAGGACCCCCCGGAGGCTGCATCTGTGCTCCAACGTCAATTCCAGGACAACTTGGCGGCCGCGGCCGGACCCCACCAAGGAGAACCCGGACAACGAGGCAAAGGAGGAGGATTTGGATCGGGCTTGTCGGCAGCATCAACAGGAATACATGCAGCTGCCGAAGCGGAAGGGCCCACAGTTGGACAATTTAAAGAGGTATTTCGTGAACAGCTTCAACCTCTTCAAAATGACATCCGGGCAATAAAACAGCACGGGGCTTCCCAGCAAAACCTTCGAAATACAGCGCAGCCACTACGCACAGCCATCGACGACATTCCCCAGAGGGTCACAGCAGTTGATACCCAACCGACATGCCCAGCTTCTACTGGCACCGGCTCCGCCCGCAGCATGGACAGCACCATGGAGGCGAATATCAACGAGCTCGAACGCCACATGGCGGCATTCACCACGATCCAGCACCACGAATGCAACGCTGTCGTTGGAGGCCTAAGTGATTTTTCAAACATGGATGAGGCTGTGGTTTTCCTGAAACAGCAGTTTGAACGCATCACGCCGCCTGACCCCTTCGATGTTTTCACGAAGGGCGATTTCAACAGCATCGTGTTTATGACGTTCAGCAACAAAGAGGCCCGGGACAAATTCTAGACGCTTCGCGTACCCCCACGCGAAGCGTCTAGAAGAGGGGGGGCAAGCCGGGAGAAGGAGCAAAGAGTCACACTTTGAAACGACGGAACCCGGCGCTAAGGCGAGAGCCACATTTTGATAACGGCCCGCCCTCAATCCGTGAAGTTCTTGCAACTGTTTGAAACGAATGTGCGCCGCGCTAAGGCGAGAGCCACATTTTGAAAACGACCCGCCTTCAATTTGCGAAACGGTTTTCACTTGTTAAGCTTCAGGGTCAAACGATGAGAAAGTCTCTGGCGAAACACCCCGCCCGCCTTAAACATTGGCTTCGGGGTGCGACAGTGAGGAACTATATATAAGGAGAAGGAAAGGACGAGGAGGAGGAGGAGGAGAAGGAGAGGAGGAGGAGGAGGAGGAGGAAGGAGGGGGAGGAGGGGAAGGGGGAGGAGGAGGAGGAGGAGGAGGAGGAAGAGGGGGGGAGGAGGACGAAAGCGAGGAGGACTGGGACGAGGAGGAGGGGGAGGAGGAGGGGGAAGAGGGGGATGAGGAGGAGGAGGTGGAGGAGTTGGGGGAGGAAGAGGAGGAGAAGAAAGAGGGGGAGGAGGAGGAGAAGGAAAAGGAAGTCGGGAAATCGTTCTGATACGAGTACTAGTACTAAGAAGAAACGAAACATATATGATAGTCATAACAATTATCATAATAATACACATAATATTGCACATTGTATTATGGATATGAGGCTAAAAGTAACAAAACATAAAAGCACGAATGCTAGTGAGACGAAGAATGCTAGTTTTGATAATTCTGATACATTAATGATAACAATAGTAGTAGCAATAATCACATCGCTAAGCATGCCACTACTACTCATAAGAAGAAGGAAGATAACTGACCGACTACTAACAAGTGCAGTAGTCACACAAATACTAAGCACAGGAATGATGATACGAATAGTGGCAGTAGTAGTCAGAATAATGGTTCGAATCATACTACGACTCATACTAATAGCCATAATAATAATCGTGATAATGCTAATCGCATTCAGACTAGTAGTAGTAGTCGTAGTAGTAGTAGTAGTAGTAGTAGTAGTAGTAGGAGTAGGAGTAGGAGTAGTAGTAGTAGTAGTAGTAGTAGGAGGAGTAGTAGTAGTAGTAGTAGTAGTAGTACTATTACCATTACTACTACTACTACTACTACTACTACTACTACCACTATTACTACTACTACTACTACTACTACTACTACTACTACCACTACCACTACTACTACTACTACTACTACTACTACTACTACTGCTACTACTACTACTACTACTACTACTACTACTACTACGACTACGACTACGACTACGACTACGACTACGACTACCACTACTATTGCTATTGTTGTTACTACGACTACGACGGCGACTAGTAAGAATATAAATAGTAGCAATCTTAATGCTACTCATACTAACCCGAATGTTAACACACATAAGAACAGAGGAGAAGGAGGAGGAGGAGGAATAGGAAGAGGAGGGCCAAGAGGTTGGGGGGCGGAGAGGGAGGAGGAAGAGGAGGGCGGAGTTTCTGGGCTCCCAGTCCGGGGTCTTGCAGGAAGGCCGCGCTGCCGCTGGCAGGATCTGGGCACGCACGAGTCGCCACAGAGGGCCACCCCCGCGCGGCGCTCGCGGCGGCGCGGCGGCCAGAGACGGCCTCTGCCCGAGGGCCGAGCGCCCCCCCCCACGAGGCGCCGCGGCCGGCTGGAGCGTGCGCTGCGCCCCGTCGCAGCTCGAGCCCCTGGCCTGGGAGTTCCAGCGGCCCAACGGCGGCACCTGGGAGAGGCCGCTCGGGCGCTCCGGTGACGGGGGGCGGCGGAGGAGGAGGAGGAGGAGGAGGAGGAGGAGGAGGAGGAGGAGGAGGAGGAGGAGGAGGGGGAGACAAACGAAAAGGAGATGGAGAAGGTGGCAAAAGACGCTCAGGAGGAGGAAGGAGCCCGGGTGCCGCTGCCGCCGCTCCCTGCTCCCCGCTGCTTGCCGCCGCCGGTTCTGTCCTGCATCGGCTCCTCCTGGGGGCCGTTTGAGGCCTCTCGGGGGCCAGTTTGGGGTTGCTTGGGTCTTTTCGGGGCCTGTTGGGGCCTCCTGGGGGCCTCTTGGGGCGGAAGACGCGGATTTTCCCCCATTTGGGCCCTTCTTGGAGCTGTCTTTGGGCACTCTTGGGCCGTCTTGGGCAGCTCTGGGGCCGTCTTGGGGCCCTCTTGGGCCTTGTTGGGGCCCTCCTTGTGGCTTCTTGGGGAACATTATTGAAGAGCCACTGGAACATCAATCATGTTGACCTCGCGGGGCTCTCTTGGGAAGGCTCTTGAGGCTCTCTTAGTGCGTCTAGGAGGTCTTTTTGGCCGTCTTGGAGCGTCGGGAGCTCACTGGAACATCAATAATGTTGACCTCGCGGGGCTCTCTTGGGAAGGCTCTTGAGGCTCTCTTAGGGCGTCTCGGAGGTCTCTGGGCCGTCTTGGGACCATCTTGGCGGTCTGGGTGCGATATTTGGGCGTCTCGGGGCCATCTTGGACTGTCTTAGGAGCCTTGGGGCCCCCCTTGGCCCGTCTTGGGGCCCTCCTGGGTCCGAACATCTCACGCGACGAGACGCGGGAAGCCCCCGACAAGCGGCGCCAACCTCCGGGAGATCGGGCAAGTTGGGTTCCGTGCCCCGCCAGGACCCTTCAGGAGTGAAGATTGGGGCTGGAGGCAGTGGGGTCAGGAGAGAGCGAGAAAGAGAGAGAGAGAGAGAGCGATCGAGCGGGAGAGAGAGAGAGAGAGAGAGAGAGAGCGGGAGAGAGAGAGAGAGAGAGAGATCGGTACATATATATATATATATATATATATATAGCGAGAGTGGGAAAGAGAGAGAGAGAGAGAGAGAGCGAGCACGAGAGAGCGAGAGGTCTAGGGAGGGAGAGAGGGACGAGGGTCGCTTATTTCTGAGATCTCCCCGCCGCTTCCAGGCTGCCTGCCCTCCAGGAGGCTGGCCTCGCAGAGGAGCCGACCCGCCCGGCCGCCGCCGTGGGGGGGGGCGCGGCTCTGTTGATGGTCTCTCCTTTTTAGTCTCCTTCGTCCCCGCGTGCTTCCCCTCTCGCAGGAGACGTTTCTATCCCAGCCCCTGGCTTCCCGACGAAAGCGAAGCGGCCAAGAAAAGGAGGAAAACCCTGGGATGCACCCCCAGGGGGCTATTCGGACGCACCCCTTATCGAGGATGGGCGCCCCCCTCGTATATCCCAGGGTTGGGCCCCAAAGTTTGGTCCGTTCGAGATACCCACGAAGCCTGGGACAGGGGTCGACATCTCCCCTGTTACCCGTCCAGTTTTGCTCCGTTCAGTCCCTCCGTCGCCCTACAGCGCAAACCAGTCTGCTTGCCTTCAGGGTACCCTGGGGTTCTTGGGTGTCGATGGTTTTGCGATGGAAAGCTCGACGTTCCCACACCGAAAATCAACGGACATCCTGCGGTCTCCGGGTTGGGTTGTTTGTGGAAGGTTTATTGTGGTCGAGCTCCTGCAGTACCGCTGCTCTGATCCAAGTGGCCGCTAAAAATGCCTTCCCTTCCTCGTACCTCCTTCGCCAATCCTGGTACCGCTTTGCAGGGATTTCGGAGGCGACCTACTCGCGATGCGCTAGAATATGTTGGAGCCTTGGCCAGGCCTCGTGCATCTCTTGAGCGCCTGGGCTCGCCTTGCTTTTTGTTTATGTGTATATTTATATGTATATATATATATATACATGTATACAGTGCCGTTTTTTATACATGCTCCGCGTGCGGATCGTGTATTAAACATGCAGGGATGTAGTAGTGAAAACAACGACGAGTTCATGCAGAAAGTCATTCATGCATGAATCATGTAGTAAACATCCTATATGGTTAAACACCCTATGTATTAGAAACTGCCCTGCACGTGTGTATATATATATATATATGTATACACACAGGCGGCCCGGATCAGCAGGTCGACCCTGGGAGATCGAGGGTATACCCTCGCGTCCTGTGTCCCTCGCGGCCCGTGGCTCGTGCACTCCCGGGGCGGTGTGGCCCTCGCGAGGGTCTGGTGTCCTCCCGCGTGCCCTCTCTCCAGTCGAGCCCGACTGCATGCATGCACAGATACACGTGTGCCCTGCCATTTCACTCTGAATCGGGATGTCTGTGTCTGGTCCGTCCTCTCGCGTGTCCTCTCCAATCAAGCCCGACTGTGTGTATGCACATCTACATGTGTGCCCTACCGTGTCACTCAGAATCGGGAAGTCTATGTCTGGTCCGTCCTATCGCGTGCCCTCTCCAGTCAAGCCCGACTGTGTGTATGCACATATACACGAGTGCCCTACCGTGTCACTCAGAATCGGGAAGTCTGTGTCTGGTCCGTCCTCTCGCGTGCCTTCTCCAATCAAACCCGACTGCATGTATGCACACATACACGTGTACCCTACCGTCTCACTCAGAATCGGGATGTCTATGTCTGGTCCCCTGTGTCGCTGCACGGAAGGTATACTGATTTAGTTGTTGTTGATTCAGGACACCCGTACAACCTGTTCGTGTTCCTCCTCCCCGCCGCCTTTGTTGCCGCCTTCGCGTCCGCCTCCGCACGCTTGAAAGAGATTCCTAGCGCTGTAGTGATAGGAGGAAAGCGGAGACTCTCCACCACTTTGTATTCGTTCGTTGTTGTTGAACCGAGCCGGGTGGATGTTCGTCTTTGGATCTCTCGGAGCCAGGTTTGTTTCTGTCGCCCAAAGATTTGTCGGCTCCAATTCGGACATTGCGCGATTGATATGGGCGGCGGCGGCGCTTGCGAACAATTTTCGACGAGGCGCACGGTGCATACCATGATGAATTTCAAGTTGTCGAACAAGTTTTCTCATGCTACGATTTGGCCAGCATCGTTCGATCACGTAGATATCTTTCCAGGTTTCTGCCTGGCCGCTTCGATTTGCATGCAATGTCCGACTGTGTTCCACACATTCCTGGTGGCCTTCCCAGTCTCGGGACTCCAGCTGAAGGCCCGACTTGGAATTCCAATTCTTCCCAAAAAGTAAGCAGTTCCGATGCTTCCATCAAATCGACTAAAGAACTCAAGCCAGTAGTCCCCACAATTCTGAACCTCTAGCACTACTTCCTGGTGACCTGACTCTCTGCAGGAAAGCCCGCCAGAAAGCTTGCAGGCAGGTGCCGACGTATTGAAGCGAAGAATTCGCCGCTCTAGAAGTTTAGCCAACATCTTGTGTCAATAATAGCAACAATAATAATAACTATCAACATGGACACAACATACCGACAGCTCCTGCATTGTAGGACTGGTGGATCGGAAGGAATGGTTGTTACGCTTGTCGTTAAGTAATGTCGTCCTTGGTCGGGCGTCTGACTGTTTTGCCGTTAAGTAATGTCGTTCTTGGTCGGGCGTCTGACTGTTGAAACCGTGGGAATGTGTTGCCGACGGCCATCCTCAGTGTTTATAATCCACGCCTCGTCCGTGCCAACACTATCAGTTGGACGAGTTCCGAAGTACTTCGCATTCGAATGTGGTCAGGTGAGTTGCGCCGTCGGAGCGCCGCGTGCCCCCCCGCGCCGTACTTCAGGATCTCGTCGTGGCGTTGAGGTCTGAGCAGGAGGCTCTCGCCGGCCAAGTCGGCCAGATGCTGCAGGCCGAAGATCGGGCATCTCCCGCATCGTCCTGCCTCACACCATTCCCCCCCCCCTCCCCCCCGGGGACCTCATCCACCGCTCATCCGCTCGCCGCCCCGTCCACTCCCGCGGACCCCCGTCCACCGCTCCTCGCCCCCTCTGGTTACCCGTGGCGTTTCGGGTCACACTGCGGGGCAGTATTGGGTGGAGCATGGGAGGTTCCCATTGTTTTGGTGGGTGTGGGAAGGTATTCGCGAGTCAAGTGATCGTCGTCCTTGCGAGGAACTCCGGTTCCGCGCCCGTAAAAGGGCATGATGAATCCTCGTGGAGCTGGTACCGTTTTCTGCGGCATGTCCAGAATCCTGCGTGGATTGGGGTCATCGGAATTCCGAGAGCACATGCCATGCATAGTTTCTCTATGTGGGTTCTTTTTTCCCGTACTCGCCATTGATTTTTCTCCCTGTGGTATGGACGAGGAGAGCAGGAACAATATCCAGACTTCATACTCACGAGGATCAGGGAGGGCATCCCCTCAGAGCAACAAAAGGTGTGGCCCATTTTCGGAAAGTATATGGTCCCAGTGACGAGCATGTGTGGCGTTTCCCTCATCCTTCGCCCCATTAGTTTCCCACTAGTGGCCCGCAATTGCTTCTCTAATGGCCTCACGAATGGCCTCGCGAATGGCCCACTTATGAAGTTGGCCACCTACGAATGGCCCACTAACGACCACCGAATGACTTTGGCCCACTACGATTCTCCACTAATGATCTCCGAATGGCTCGCCCCTCATCTGTCGCCCGCGCTGCCGCAATTGCAAAGAGCGTTCGTGCATGACTAGGTCCAGAGGCTGTGTGAGGCAGGGCCGTCGTCGCAAGTAAGACAGCAGCCACGAGTGAGTCATCATGCGATCATCAGCGGGCCATCCGTCGAGTCCACGGGGACGTTGCGGTACACGCGGGACGTTGTCTCTTCACGGTGCCCGCACGCTTGTGATGTACAATCGGAGTTTGGGGGTGGAGACCGAAGTGAGTCGTGAGGTGCCCGCAAACCTCGGATTCGGTTCGGTTCGTGCCGTCCGTGACGTGCGTGCGGTTGCGTGTGCGGGCGTGTGCCAGGGGTCGTTACTCCGTTTTCCATCGCCCTGCACCGCTTCCTTCGTTTTTGTTCGCGGTGCGTTGCGCTCACGAGCCATTCTCCCGGGTGATGTCTCGCGTTCCTGTTTGTTCCGATGGTTGTTCCGATGGTTGTCCCGATGATTGTCCCGATGTTTTTCCCGATGGTTGTCCCGATCGCTGTCCTGATGGTTTCCCGATGGTTACCCCGATGGGGCCTTTTCCCAGGTGATGTCTTTCGCTCCCGGGTTTTTCCGGCCGTTCCCCTATGTGCTTGAGGTTTTCCCGATTGTTGTCCCGACGGTTGTCCCGATGGTTGTCCCGATGGGGTTTCCTTTTGGGTGATGTCTTGCCTTCCCAGGCTTTCCTGGCTTTTCCAGCTTGTCTTTACGGCTGTCCCGATGGCTGTCCCGAGGTTCGCAGGGGCCGCACAGGGGCCTCACGGGAGCCTCCCAGGAGGCCAGGAGCCTCGCGGGAGCAGAGATGTTGCAGTCAACCCACAGATTAAGGATGAGCAGTTTTCCGAGGTTACCTTTGCATCCTTCCCCTCCAGCCCATCATTGGCCGCTTTCGCTGGCCGCGCCCCGCACGCAAAGTGTCGACATGGCCTTCCAAGGCCCTTTGTATCCTTACCGCGCATCCTTATTACACGGGTTGACTGTATTCTCAGAGGCCAGGCCCCCATTGATCAAATCCAGTCGTAAGAGTATCAGGGGCGAAAACAAAACACAGGCACGATGAAATCGTCGATCCCCAGGAACATATGGGAACATATGGGACGTGGGAGGGAAAACAGAAACCCAGAAGATATGGGAAAGCATGGGGACTCTTGTGATCTGTGTGTACAGTCGGGGCCCTGAAGAAGGAACCCTTTTCGTTGGGGAGGGGCTCCGTGTTCCTTAATTGTTTCGCAGCTGGCCTTGGATTTTCTTTAGGTTTTCGATGCGAAATCGAAGTCCAACTTATGGAAAATAGGGGCATCGTTCCTTATTTAGGGTTCCTTAGGTCAACGCCCCGACTGTACTGATTTGTGTGTCCCAGGGCCCCCTCCAGATCAGAGGCGTGGCCAGCGCCAGGAGCGCAGCGTCGGTGTGCCCGCGCGCGCGTGCACAGTGTGCGCGCGGGCTCCCCGAAGGGGCGACGCGCGGGCGCAGAGACCCCTCGGGAGGGGGAAAGGCAGAGACACAAGGAATCTTCGATTCCCCCCAAAAAATGGGAAAATATGGGAAGCGGGGGGGAAGACGAGCACCCAGAAGATATTCGGAAACATGGGAAGGAGGGAAGGAAGGAAGGAAGGAAGGAAGGAAGGAAGGAAGGAGGAACGCGGGGCACCGTCTCTTCAAAACGAGGACCCAACACCACAGGATGGTTGGGAAATATGGGAAGCGGGGGGATAGACGAGCACCCAGAAGATAGTAGGAAACATGGGAAATCCTGGGATTTGCGTGTACTTACCTTCGTGTCCCTGGGGCCCCCATCAATCTCGTAGTACATGCTCGGTGGCGGGCGTTGTCTGGCCAAACCGCTGGGGGTAACGACACCATAAGGTGGATGCACTGTATGATCTGGTCGAACTCGCGCCCCCAAGGAGCACACGCAGTGTGATGGGCGTGTTTTCCACCACCACCACCATCAGTTGGAGGGGGGGGTCCTCCTCCTCCTGCTCCTCCTCCTCCTCCTCCTCTTCGTCCTCCTCCTTCACCCCATCCAACTCATGGTGGTGGTGGTGGTGGAAATCAGGCTCATCATAGTGCTGGTACGTCCTTTTGCGTCGCGTGACGCATCAGTGGCGACACACGTGTGCCGCAGGAGCACGAGCGCGGCGGCGGCAGCGGCAGGAGCAGGAGCCAGGGGTGGCCGCCCCCGAGGCGCCGCCGCGCGGCGAGGGCGAGGGCGGCCAGAGCCCGGCCTGCTCCTCGGCGCGGGCGCGGTGGGGGCGGCTGTGCATGGGCCAGTGGAGATCCACCGAGCACGCGGCATGGGCTCGTGCTCGACCAGGATAGTGAGGATGCGCGGTGAGGATGCAAGGGCCTTGGAACGCCATGTTGGCGTTTTCCGTGCGGAGCGCAGCAGAGTGCAGGAGGATGCCGAATACTGCAGGGGCAAGGCTGCAAGGGTAGCCTTGGCAAGTTGCCCCATCCTTACTATCATGGTTGACTGTACCACTTTGTGCGAGTTCTGTGTGTTCACGCGCGCTTGATAACCGCAAACTCGTGTGCTGCGCGTATGTTCTGCATCAGGTTATGACACACCGAACGGGCGTGCGATATGTAAGTCCCGATGTGCCGTGTTTCTGGATACTTTGCCGATGTGTTTTTCTTGTGCACGTATACGATTGCATGCGTGTTCCTGTGATTGTAAAGGCCTTACAGCCGGTGCCGCCGACCCTGAAGACGACGACGAGGACGACGAGGAAGAGGGGACGAGAAGCAGCAGGAGCAAGAGGCGGAGGACGCGGTGGAGCAGCTGGATGGGGGAGGAAGTGAGGAAGTGGGTGCGGAGGAGGAGGAGGAGCAGGGTCAGGGGGCGGACGGGGGGGGAACGAGCAGTAGGAGGACGAGGAGAATGGGAGTCGGAGGAGCAGGAGAAAGAAGAGGACGTGGAGGGGGGGAGGAGGAGGGGCAGGAAGAGGAGGAGGATGGGAGGGAAAGGGTCGAGGTAAGGTTGCGGAGCACCCGGGGGAAGAGAGCACGCGGGGCAGAAGGGGGGAGCATGATGAGGAGGATGATCGGGAGGATGGGGATGCTGAGGAGGAGGATGCGAAGGAGGGGGAGGAGGAGAAGGGAACGGGTGAGGAAGAGGAGGGTGGGGATGATGATGATGATGATGGTGATGATGATGATGATGATGATGATGATGAGGATGAGGAGGAGGAGGAGGAGGAGGAGGATTATGATGATGATGAGGAGGAGGAGGATGGGGATGAGATGATGATGATGATGATGATTATGATGATGATGATGAGGAGGAGGATGAGGATGAGGATGAGGATGATGTTGATGATGATGATGACGATGATGCTGTTGATGATGATGATGATGATGATGATGATGATGATGATGATGGTGGTGGTGGTGATGATGATAATGATAATGATGATGATGGTGGTGATGATGATGATGATGATGGTGATGATGATGATGATGGTGTTGATACTGATGCTGATGTTCTGATGATGATGATGATGAGGAGGAGGAGAAGGAAGAGGAGGAGGAGGAGAAGGAGGACGATGTGGAGGAGGAGGAGGAGGAGGAGGAGGAGGAGGAGGAGAGTGAGGAGCAGGGGGAGGAGGGGATGCTTGTCGGGGTCTCTTCGGAACGCTTTCGGGGGCCTGTGGTGGGCATCTTGAGGGCGGTTTGGTTTTTGGCAGACTCATGGGGGCCTCTTGGGGGCCTGCAGGTGCTTCCTGGGGGCTTCTTGGGGGCGTCATGGAGGCCTCGTGGGGCCTCCTGAGAGCTTCTCGTGGGCGAGGGCTTGAGATGTCCGTTCGGGTCTCCTGTCTGGGCACCCTCTTGGAATCGTGTTGCATGCTTCTTGGCCTGTCTTGGGGCCCTCTTGGGCCCTTGTGGGAACACCTTGTAAGACTCTGGGCCGTCTTGAGGCGATCTTGGGGACCTACTGGACCGTGGTAGACCGTCGAGAAGCGGAAGAGGGGAGAACGCCAAGATTCTGCAGAAACCCAATGGAAGTTCATGAAATACACCTCTGGGTGTTTTCTCGGGAGTGCTCCTGGAGGCCTCTTGGGGCGATTTGCAGGCCTGATGGGCCTTCAGGCCGTGAAGGCGTCTTGGACAGATCGTTCGGCGATGCTGGGCCCTCTTGGACCGTCTCGGGGGCCTCTTCGGGCTCTCTTGACGCGTCCTGGCCCGGGACCCCCCCAGGCGAGAGGCGTATCTGGGTGGCGATCCCTGTGGGACCCACCCCAGTACCCCCCCTGGGGAAGTTCCCACGGGACCCCTCCAGGGACCCCCGCGGGACACCCCTGGGGACACCCCCTCGGGACCTCCCCCCCCTTGACGAGGGAGGGATCAAAGGGAGGGGTCTTCCTTCCTTTCGGTTGGATTACAACGTTGCGCAATTTCGCTTTGGCTAGCGCGCTTGGGGAGGAGGGCCCAGGAAAAGGGGGGGAGCGGCGACGGGCCCAGGGAAATGGGGGCCGCATGGAAAGGAGCCTGCAGAGACAACGACTAACGAATTGCGGTTCAGGAGGTCCACCGAGAAAACCATCCGAAATATTTGGGAAATCTTCAGCAGGAAAGCCAAAACCTGCAGAAATCGCAAACTCAAAAAAAGCTTCCAAACATCTCTAAGCCAAAACTTGCGAAAATCTCAATCTCTGACAAAAACTGAAAAAAGTTAAGCCCAAACCCGCAAACATCTCAAACTCTAAAACAACTTCCAAACCAAGTCAAAACCACAACCTGCGAACATCTCAAAATTGAAGCCGGAGTTTGCATTAGAGTGTCTTTTAGAGTGTTCCAAGAGTTATGTTTGAGTTCGCCAGGCAGTCAGAAATGTGCTTAGAGTTGTTTTAAGAGTTGTTAGAGTTGGTTTAGAGTTGTGTTAGAGTCGTTAGACGTTTGGAGCTTTCTTTATAGTTGTTTGTTAGTTGTTCGGAATGTTTAGGGCCTTAGAGTTTGATTAGAGTGATGTTAGTTGTCTTACCGCTTTCCAAAAGTTGTTTCGAGTTCCGGTTTTAAGTTGTCTCCGGAGTGTTTTTGAAGTTGTTTAAGAGTATGATATTGTCGCATGTGTTGGTTTAGAGTGTTTGAAGTGTTTTAGAGTCTGAGATTTTGGCAGGTTTTGGCTTAGATATGTTTTACAGTTTGTTTTAGATTTTGAGTTGTTCGCAGGTTTTGGCTTAGATTGTGTTCGACGTTTTCTTATAGTTGGAGATTTCGGCAGGTTTTGGTGTAGAGAGTTTTTGAAGTTGTTTGGTTGAGTCTGAGTTTCTTCGCCCGATATGGCGGTGGACCGCCTGTAGTCGCTATTGCCGAACCTAAAATTACGGAGAGGACGACTCGAACGAACAAGCCCCTCACACACGCCGACAGCGTCGGCGGATTTATGACTGGCTGTATTTTTTGTTGGTCATCATATTCGCAGTGTGGAGCCATTCCTCGTATGGGCTTAGCCTCCTTTGCCCTCGCTTGCTTAACCTGCTGCACGCTGAACAACCAGCGCTTCGTGAGTAAGACCTGCATGTGCGTACACGTGCACGTGCACGGGCGTGAGTGTTTACGGACAAGTGAGTACGTTTGTCCACGTGTAGTTGCCGCACCGTTGGGCGTGCGATGGCGAGAGCGCGAGTGCTATCGGGGCACGCTCGTATGCCTATGTTCGGCGGCGAGCCCAGGGGCGAGGTGAGAAGGGGCTGACCTTCTCAGGAGGCTCGGAAGTTCTCAGGACTTCAGAAAAGTTGTCCGAGCCTTCCCCGAAGACACAGAAGACCACTCAGGTGGCCCGAGGGCTTTGAGAAGCCCCACAGCCTTCTTTGAAGACCTTCTCCTCCTCCCTTCCCCCCGGAACTTCCCCCCCCCTCGCTCGCCGCTGATTCGGGGCACATTCGTGTGCCTATGTGCATGCGCACGCGCACGCGCGTGAATGCGCCTGCGTGCGATGGCGCATGCCCAGGTGGATTGTGCGCGTGTTGCAGGAGGGGAGAAATCACACAGACACAATTTATCGCCGACTCCCCAGAAAATATGGGAAAGTATGGGAAGTAGGAGGAGGAAGACGAAAACCCAGAACATGAAGGCAAATTCGGGAGTCCCGGCATTGGTGTCTGTCGATTTGAGTCCCTGGGCCCCTTCCGTGTTCGCCCTGGGTTTCCTGGCGCCGATGGGTCCACGATGGGCTTGGCATCGCTCGGACGTGTGCATTTTTCCTTCGGCGAGGACCTTTGAGGAGCATCCTTGATCATTTGGCAAAAAAAACACGCACGAAACCGACAAAAAACACAGGGAATGTACGTCCGAGCGATGGCCAGTGGGGAGCGCGACTCTCCCGCACCAAAAACCTCAGTGGACAGCCTGGGGCCTCAGGGCGTGTGGCCGAGCTCCTGCTGGCGTGGTGGTGACCGCGCGCGTGGCTCCCCCCACCCGCCCGCGGGCCCGCGCCGAGGTGCACCTCGGCTCGCCCAGGGACGTGGGCGACAGCCCGGGCGGCGAGAGCAGGGGCGGGCCGGAGCGGATGCCAGGAGGGCGCCCCCCTCTCTCGCGCAGCCTCGAGATTGATCCCTGGAGGAGGAGGAGGAGGAGGAGGAGGAGGAGGAGGAGGAGGAGGAGCGAGGAGCGAGGAGCGAAGAGCGAGGAGCGAGGAGCGAGGAGGAGGAGGAGGAGGAGGAGGAGGAGAAGGAGGAGGAGGACTGGCCAAAAATAAAACGGGGGCTGCCAGGCGCTCCTCGGGTCCAGGGCTCCCCCCCCCCCAGCAGCTCTCCTCGCGCCCCCTTCGGGCCCCCATCCCCTGGGGGCGCCCTGGGCCTCGCGAGGGGTGCTCCCTGGAAAGCCTGGGGGCCTCCCTGGGAAGCCTGGCGGCACCCTGGGCCAGGGCTTGTTCCTGGCGGCACCCGGCCATGCATCGGCGGCGAGGCCCGGGGAGAGGAAGAGAGCGGGCCTTTTCAGAATCGGGGGCGGAAAAGAGGGGGTTGATGACTAGGGGGGGTGGATATCATGGCAGGGGCCATGATATTTCCCCAGATTTCATGGCGCCTCTTCTTATTTCATTACGTCCCTGGCCCCCCCGCTGGGCCGCGCACATGCCGCCGGTCATGATTTGCACCCCCCCCCTCTTGGACACCCCCCTCTTGGCCGCTCCCGATAGAAGGTTGCGAAGCCTTCCCCGCAGACGGAGGCGGCTTCTCAGAAGGCCGGGCGGCTTCTGAGAGGCCCAGTCGCAGGCCTGGCCCTTCTCTTTTCCCCCCTGGGCTCGCCGCCGAATCCAGGAGGTGGGCTGGAGGAGGAGGATGCAAGCTTAGCCGCCACTCGTCCAGGGCAGCAGCCCAGAGTGGCCCTACCTCCCCTTCCCGCTCCACCACTTCCTCTAATCATAAACCTGCTGTGCGACACCGTGCGGTGCAGTGTGGCGTCGCGATGGCTTCACGTCTTCCACGGTCAGACAAGCTCGCAAGACGAGGTGAGTGACCGAATTGCGCGGGGGAGTATCAGCACCTTTCTGCTGCACTTCTCCCTCCTGCCTCGTTTTCCCTCCCTCTTGCCCCTCCCTCATCTTCGTCCTAGTTCGCCTTTTCATCCTCGCTTTTCCTCCATATTCATCGTCCTGTTCCTCATCCTAGTTTCTCCTTTTCCTCCCTGTTTCGCCTTCGTGTTCATCCTCAACCACCTGGTCTCAACAAGGCCCTGACGCTTGTCCGCAGTGGTGGTCCTTCCCTTGTTCTTGTTCATGATTTTCCTGCAACTCCTCCGAGATGCCTTCAGCCCAAATCCCCCCCCCTCCCCCCCTCCTCTCGCGGCGGTACACGTCCTGAACCGTCCGCAACCATAATGCGCCAGAGCATCGCAGCTCTTTTAAATCGCCCGTGTGCCGCCTCTTGTCCAGCTTAATTGGCCAAGCGCACGTTTTTTGTTTGTTTGATCATCATACAGGCCTCGGAAGAAATCAGCGAACACCCATGCCGCATTCATCTATCAATACCCCCCCCAATGACTAATGTTGGCGGTGGGTTGAACGAGCTGCACTTCGACCGCAGGCTTCCCCGCGCGCGCCAACTTTGAGTGATGGGGAGCGGGGGAGTGTGTCCACTTATTGTTTCCCTCTACCGTAGCTTTTTTGTCAAGAGATCTATTCCATTCCGCCGACCTGCAGAAGAGGATATGTGCGGCTTCCGATTTCGTTTGTGGCATTTGCCAACTCCCGAGTTGCTGCCTGCGTGCCTGCGTCTACTGGTTGCTGAGTCTTCCGCCTCTTTCTGAGCGTCTGCTGCGGGGCTTCTGGGGGGCCTTTTGGAGGCCGAGGGAGCGGCCCTGTGGAGATTTTTCAAGGCTCCTGGGAGCTTTTCAAAGCTTTCTGGGGACCTCTTGGAGGCCTCTTGGGGTTGTGCTCGGGGTCTTGGGGAGTCCTGGGGTCCATCTTGCGGAGGGGGGCTCCAGGTGTCCCTGCGGGTTCCCCCTTTTGGACATCTCTCGACGCAGCAATCACTCGACAACCTCAGGAAAGCAAGTGAGTTTTGCCTCTCGAGGCCTTATTGGGGATCCTCTCAAGGCCCTTTTTCAGCGTCTTGGGCCGTCTTGAGGCTATTTTGAGTGTTCTCGAGGCGTCTCCGGCGTGTTGGAGCCCTCCTGGGGCCATTTTAGAAAGCATCTTGGGAGTCTTGGCTGCCACGGAGCGTCTATTTGGATGCTCCGAGGGCTCCAGAAGTGCATTGGGGAGTTCGTGCCCCCCACCTCTTCTGACGGGATGTTGGCCCCAGGGGAGGGGGGAGGGGTGACAGCCTCAGTGGGCCCTGGAAACGACAGAGCCGTTTTTTTACCGGTTCCGTGTTGCCGTTTTTTGCCGGTTCCGACGCCGTTTTTCTACCGGTTCCGACGCTGTTCTTTTACGGGTTCCCGCTCCGGTTCAAATCCTGGAGCCGTTTTTGTTGCCGTTTCCGGTCGCCGTTTTTTTGTTGTTTCCATTTCCAAGGGACTTGTTTTCGGAAACGGTGAAAAAATTGCTTTGCCGTTTCCAGGGCCCACCAAGGGAAGGGGTGACACAAACCACTTCACACGCTTTTTCTTATGAGGAAAATCCTGGAGGCCTCGCGCGGCGCGTAATAGTAGTACGATCTAGCCCACCTGCCAGTTCCGTAAGCCATGGGTCGATGCTCGCGCGGCGATGCACAGGAGTCAGTCCGACGCAAACCCGACGTAAATCCGATGTAGACCCGACGTAAATCCGACGTAGATCTGACGTAAATCGGGTCGGAGGAGGAGGAGGAGGAGGAGGAGGAGGAGGAGGAGGAGGAGGGGGAGGGGGAGGGGGAGGAGGAGGAGGAGGAGGAGGAGGAGGAGGAGGAGGAGGAGGAGGAGGAGCAGGAGGAGGAGGAGGGAGGGGGGAGGGGGGAGGGGGGCGAAAACAGAGTGGATTTTCTTCATAGCTTTCCACCTCCAGCAAGCGAGGGTCGGCGGAGCCATCGCGCCCGCGTTCCAACTGGCTGCCGTCAGCTCAGCTGTGCGTGGTGACGGCGACGATGCTTCGCCGTGCCACCTTCGTCGTCGGTTTTCCCGTACTCGTCGACTTCATCCTTTTCGCCCGTCCTTTCTCGGGCCCCTGCGGGGCAGTCTTGGGGGTCCGTCGGGCCACTTCGGACCCTCGCGGGGCCCTCTTGGGCCGTGCTGGGGCTCTGAAGGGCCGTCTTGGAGCCCTCTTGGCCGCCTTGGGGGTCTCTTGCCTGCCGTCGTGTGTCCGTCTTTGGGCCGTCTTGGGCTGTCGGGGGGCCCTCCAAGGCCATCTTGGGTCCGTCCGGAGGCACCCTTGGGCCAGCTCGGGGCCCTCTTGGGGCCGTTTGGGGGCCCTCGTGGGTTTTCTTGAGGCAGTCTTGAAAGATGATTTGTCAGTTTGGGGGGCTTTCTTGGGCCGTCTCGGAGCAACATTGGAGGCCTCTAGTGCCGTCTGGAGCTGCAGGAATCTCGAAAAGATGACGCCAAATCTGTAGAAAACCTCCGATGTATGGCTTTGGCTTCTTCGGGCCCAACCGGGGGCCCTCTTGCTGCCCTCTTAAGTCGTCTTGGGGGCCTCTTAGAACGTCTTGAGGCCATCTTGGGCAGCTTGGAGCCATCTCTGGCCGTCTTGGAGGCTTCTTGGGCCATCTTGGCGGCCTTGGTTCCCTTCCTTGGCCGTCTTGGAAGCTCGGTTCCACGGTTCATTGCTAGCGATCGTGGCCTGAGGAGCACGGACCCAGTGCGTTAGAAAACGGACCGTGGCCTAGGGACCCATCGTTTATTGCCAGGGATCGTGGCCTCGGGAGCGGGGATCCATAGCTTGTTGCTAGGGACCGTGGCATCAGGAGCTCGGATCCAGTGCATTTGAACGACGGATTGTGACCTCGGGGGGAAGGGCATGCACGCGGAATTCAGACGAGAGGGGGGGGACCTAGAACACGAGACCTTCCGCTGGCCAAGACGCACCGAACATTCAAGGGTACCCTCCCCAGGGTGCACAAGAATATCCAGCACATACGAAGAGCATAGGGTACCCTCCCCGAACCGACCTCGGTCCGACCGTACAGAAACCCGACCAGACAACCCTTGACATTATACCACGCTTGAGCGTGCCAGGAGGCATGGTGGTGGATTGGTCAATTTTTGAATTGCGGAAGGGATAGGCTGGCGAACCCTCCACGGACCTCGCACGATCAGTGTTTGCATAACTCTCGAAGTATCGATTCAATGTTTTTTTCGCATCACGACTCGTTTGTGGCAAGCGTTGGGCAAGAGTGGATACCGAATTAACAAATATTGTATGCGCTACGCTTGAGGTTCCATGTCCGAGCACGCCACCTGGGTTTGCAAGGCACGGGTCTGGATCGATGCGCCAGTAGCAAGGGCAATGGCGTTTTGCACGAATGTGCGATCACTCGCGTCGGTGAGTTCGGAGTGCTGGAGCCTCACTCAGGGCGGCGCGTTCGCAGTGTTTTCTGTTCTCTCGGGAGCACCGTGGATGACAAGGCAGTGGCAGGGAGGGGCAGGGCGGCTCGGGGCAGGAACACGAAGGGATGCGGAGGCGGAGGGGGAGGAGGAGGATGAGGAGGGCCGGGAAATTCGGAAACGTGGGGAAGGAGGGGAAGGGGCAGGGCGAGAGTGGGAGATGGTGAGGGGGACGTGGAGGGGGAGGGGAAGGGATGGGAACGGAGGGAAGGGAACGGAGGAAAGGGAGGGCTCGAGGAGGAGCGGAGACACAGGGGGGGGCGAAGGGGGCAGAGGGCCAGGGACTGGAGAGGGAGCGGAGGGCGAGAGCGAGAGCTGGGGACGGGGGAACCACGCACGAAACCGAAAAAAGCACACGGAATGGACGTCCGAGCGATGGCGAGCGGGGGGGGGTTTGGCGGGCTCGGGCTGCCCACGCCAGAGCGCGCGCCCGCCGAGGCGGCCTCGCGCAGCCCCCGGAGGTGGCGCCGGAGCCGCCGTGCGCCGAGGCGACGTCGCTGCGCGGGCGCCGGCGCACGCCGAGGCCGGACTTCCCGCTCCTCAAGCTCGGGCGGGCGGATTCCAGGCCTCCCAGATTCGGGGGCGGAAAAGAGGGGGGTGATGACTGGGGGGGGGGATCTCATGGCGGGGGGCCATGATATTTCCCCAGATATCACGGCGCCTCCTCTTATTTCATTACGTCCCTGGCCCCCCCGCTGGGTCGCGCACATGCCGCCGGTCATGATTTGCACCCCCCCTCTTGGACACCCCCCTCTTGGCCGCTCCCGACAGATGGGGTCCGAGTAGACCTAAGTCGGGGGCGTGTCCCTCTACATGGGGGATGTTCAAAAATTGACAAACATAGTCTGGGGCGTTTTTTTAATTGAGTAATTAATTGGGGGGTATTTTTTGAGTACTTTTTTTTTTCGCCCAAAGTCCCCCTGTTGGGGGACACGCCCGACTTACGAGTAGACCGGGTCGGAGGACCGCGCAGCATCGCCGATACATCGCCGATGCGGCTCGACGTTGGGCCCTGGTTTTCTCCAAGATGGCGGCGCCGATTGCATAGCCGATGTCGCCGATGCATGGGCGATGCGGCGCGAGCCTCCGACCCCATCTACTCGGACCCCGTCCAGAAGGCCTCCAGTAATGAGGGGGGCCCAAATGGGCGGTGAAGGAAAAGAGCTCCAAAAGAGGCCCTCTCGGGCCCCTTCAGGGCCCCAGCTTGTGCCGAAAAGGGGCCCTGACGGGCCCCTTTAGTGCCTTCTGTCTTCACCCCCCAGCTAGGTCACCCCCATTACCACCCGCCCGAAAGCCGCGGCAGCACAACAAGCGGCAAGATTGGCGGACCCTCGCCGGCGTGACGGCGGAGAGCCGCGCCAGGGCGCTCGCGCCGAGGCGGTCGGACGAGTCCGAGCCGGAGCCGGTGGAGTGACGGGGGGGGGCGGTGGCGCGGCGCCCCGCGCGGGCGGGCTGCGGGGGCGTGGCGCAGTGGCAGGTGGGCTGCCAGACGGTCGCTCCAGGCCTCCAGAGTTCAGGAGGGAAAAATCACACAGACACAATGAATGGACGATGTTCAAGAAAATAGGGGAAAATACGGGAAGCGGGGGGAAGACACGCACCCAGAAAAGATGGGGAAATATTGGGGATTCCTGTGATTTGTGTGTGTATCTATTTGTGTGTCCCAGGGCCCCTTCAAAGGTGGGGGTTCCGAGGGCACGAGTGGGGTACGGTAGGGTCGCGTCGCGTCGACTGGCGGCGACCCCGCCGCGGGCGTGCCAGGAGGTCGAAGGCCGCCGGTGGCCCAGGATCGGCCTGTGTATGGAGCGAGCGGAGAGCCGCCGATCGGTCAAGGTTGGACTCAAGCAGTGGCGAAGCGTCCTGGCTCGCCTATAGCCCTACCAAACAATGTTCTAAGAACCGTTTGTGGTTTCCACGAAATGTTCTTAGAACATTTCTGGCTGATATGTCTTGTTTGAACACATCGGGTTAATGTTCTAAGAACATCGTTTCTGTTCTAAGAACATATTTGGGTTCTCAGAACATGTCGTGGCAGGACTATAGGAATGCCGGGACGGTCGGTCCCTGCTCAAAAGGTTGGACGACCCACGCGGTGTCAGAAGCCGGCGCCAGGGTCGTCACAGCACGAAATTGCCGTCTGGACGCCCGAAATGGGTACGGAAAGAATGGGTACAATGCCCGACAGCAGTTCCTGTTCATTTTGAACAGGGCTCGCTGTCCGCGCCGCCGCGGCCTGTGTCGATTCGAGGCGAGAGGCCGCCTGCCCACCAGCGGCCGCTGTTGGTTTGGGACAACATTTGTTGTTGGGCATTGTACCCATTATTTCCGTGCCCATTTCGGGCGTCCAAACGAGAGAGGGGGAGGGCATCTTGGGAGCAGCCCTGCGGCTCAGAAGGCGCTGGCCTTGTCTGCAGAGGCAGGGGCCGGCGCCTGCAGCGGCCTCCTTCTGAGAAGACTTCCCTCCTCCCCCTACCAGTGAGTCGGGCGTGTCCCTCTACAGGGGGGATATTCCGAAATAGTCAAAATTATAGCCAGGGTGCAGTATCCCCAAACAGGGTTTTTTTTACCCACTGCGGTTTACAAGGTCGATTGCGTGCCCGTCCAGTGCGGGCTGGCATGGCATGTTAGAACATGATGACGTGATGTTTGCATATGAGATGTTTGCACATGATAACATGGTGCCTACTGCCCACTCCCTCCTCCACATCATCCTCCTCCTTCTCCCTTCCATCTCCTCCTCCTCCTCCTCCTCCTCCTCCTCCTCCTCCACCTCCTCTTCATTCCGAACGGCATCTCGGAGCCCAGGGTTGCGAGGATGTCTCCAGAGTAACGGGCTGGACCACCTCGCGCGCGGCATCTCGGACCCCAGAGTTGCGACGATGTCTCCGGCGAAACGTGCTGCGAGGAAGTCTCAGGCGAAACGGGCCGGACCACCTAGAGCGCGGCGTCTCAGAGCTCCGAGTTGCGGGAGCCTCCTGGGGCCTCTTGGGGCCTCCTGGGGACCTCTTGGGGCTTCCTCCTGGGCCTCCTGTGGCCTCCTGGACCCCACCTGGGGCTTCCTGAAGCCTCTTGGGCTCCCAGGGGGGGATATCTAACAGGTGGCCGTCTGGGCCCCCCAAAATGCGAAGGGGGGGGCACAAGAGCAGGAAAAATCAACGAATCGACACCGGATGTGTATTAACGTGACACGTTCTGATAGGGGGTCTCCGTGGGCCTCCCTGGAGCCTCCTGGGAATCTCCTGGGCACCCCTTGGGCCTGTCCTAGGCGTCCTGCGGCCTCCTGAAGCTCTCTGGTCCCAGGGTCCCAGGGTGGTATGTAACATGTGGTCTTCTGGGCCCACAGGCTGGACCACCTCTTGCGCGGCATCTGGGAGCTCAGATTTCCCGAATGTCTTGTGCGAAACGGGCCGGACCACCTTGCGCACGGCATCTCAGAGCTCAGAGTTGCGAGGATGTCTCAGGCGAGGCGGGCTGGACTACGTGGCGCGCGGCATCTCAGAGCTCAGAGTTGCGAGGATGTCTCAGGCGAAATGGGCTGGACCACATCTTGCGCGGCAGCTCAGAGCTCAGAGTTTCGAGGATGTCTCAGGCGAAACGGGCCAGACCAACTCGCGCGCGGCATCTCAGAGCTCAGAGTTTCGAGCACGTCTCAGCCGAAATTGGCCGGACCAACTCGCGCAAGGCATCTCAGAGCTCAGAATTTCGAAGGTGTCTCAGGCGAAACGACCCAGACCACCTGTCGCGTGGCATCTCAGAGCCCAGACTTTCGAGGATGTCTCAAGCGAAACAAGCCGGACCACCTCTCGCGCGGCATCTCAGAGCCCAGAGTTTCGAGGATGTCTCAAGCGAAACAGGCCGGACCACCTCTCGCGCGGCATCTCAGAGCTCAGAGTTTCGAGAATGTCTCAGGCGAAACGGCCGGACCACCTCGCAAGCGGCATCTCGGAGCCCAGAGTTGCGATGATGTCTCAGGCGAAACGGGCCGGACCACCTCTCGCACGGCGTCTCGGGGCTCAGAGTTTCGAGGATGTCTCAAGCGAAACGGGCCGAACCACCTCGCAAGCGTCATCTCGGAGCCCAGAGTTGCGAGGATGTCTCAGGCGAAACGGGCCGGACCACCTCTCGCACGGCACCTCGGGGCTCGAGTTTCGAGGATGTCTCAAGCGAAACGGCCTGGACCACCTTTCGCGCGGCGTCCGGGAGCGCAACTTTTCGAGGATGTCTCAGGCGAAACGGCCAATCCCGGCCAACTCAGAAACGAGAGTTGTGAGGATGTCCCAAGCGAAACGGCCCGGACCATCAGATTTGTATGAGGATGTCTTTGCTCCCCTCTCCCTCGGCCGGAGTCAGCTTCTATCACAGAAGCACCCCGTTCAGCAAGCTGTTTGGGGAAAAATAGTCGGGGGACTATTTTTATATTACTTTTGACCATGGGGGTATTTTTAGAGTATTTTTTATTTTCTCGGTCTGTAGGGTGACAGGGCCGACCTAACCCTACCACCTTGTTCGGGGAAGCGCAAGGCTCGAGTACGCCAGGGCTCGGATTTGCATACGTTTTTTGACGAGCGCGTCCTGGATTTTGACGGTCCAGTTTTCGTGGGATGTTTGCAGCGGGAGCTCGCGTCAAATTTCAGACCGGGTCTCGTCGTTTTCGTTGATTAACCCCGTCAGGCCAACAACCCGAGTCCCCCGAACCCGAGTTTTACGTCTCCCTGACTTGTGTGCGCGCCAACAGATGGGGCCCAGGCCTCCCAGATGGGGTCCGAGTAGACGGGGTCGGAGGGTCCCACCGCATCGGCGATGCATCGGCGATGCGGCTCGATGTAGATCTTGATTTTCTCCACGTCGACGGCGCCGATGCATCGCCGACGTCGCGGGTGCATCGCCAACACATCGACGAGCATCGGTGATGTGGCGCGATCCTCCGACCCCATCTACTCCGACCCCATCCAGTACAGTCGGCCCGGATTAGTAGGTCGACCCTGCCAGCTCAAGGGTACCTTTGTGTCCTGTGCCTCGCGACACGTGCCTCCTTACACTCCTATGGCGATGTGGCCCTCGGAAGGGTCTTGTGTCCTCTCGCGTGTCCTGTCCAATCAAGGCCGACTGTAGCCGTCTAGTCGCGGGAGCCAGGCCGAGGCCTTCCGCAGTGTTCGGATCCTCTGGCAGTGCGCGTGTCTGCTGTCAGTCTGCGACCCTTGCTGCTGCCACCCGGGCCTGTGTGGTGCCGCGTTTCACCGGTCACAAGTGGAGCTTTCTGGCGAAGTTGATTGGCGCTGTGCGCGCGGCGCATGGGGACGCCTCGGCGAAGGTGCCGCTGGCGCTGCCGGGGGCCGGCAGCACCTGGGTGTATCTGAGGAGCACGCGCGCGGCATCGGGACTGGGGAAGCCGCGAGGGCAGCACCAGGCGCCAGGCGGATTTGGAGACGGTTGTGAGCAACCCCAGACTGGCTTGCCACCAGCTCCCAGAGAAAAGGCCGGTCGCAGTCCTCTTGCTGCTCCGCGTCATCATTTTACCCCTCTGCCAACCAAGTGGCGGCAGGTACCCAGGCGCGAGCCTGATTCACGAGATCCGCTACCGCTAGCCCGGTGTGCACACACCGTACAAGATGTTTTCGCTCGCTGGATAGGGGGATGTATTTGACATGAAGCCTAGCGGTGCTTTTATTCCACCCTCTCCTACGATGTCGTCTCCCCAGTATCCTCTCTGTTGTCATCCTCATTCTTACCTCCTTCCTCGCATCCAGATCGCACACCTTGCAACGGGTATGGTCTACGGGAACTTGTCCCGAGAGCTCACATCATTCTGACCCGCGGCGCTCGAAGGAATAGGCCCGCCGACCAGCACCCTTTTCGTTTCATTGAACTCCGGCGACGACTTCCGAACCGGCTCCCGTGTATGTCCATGCGGAAGCCGTGCGAATCATACCGTGCATAACGTCGTGATTTATCGTATTCATCACTGTGTTGAAACAATAGTCAGACCGTGGGAAATGGGTGCCATATGAAATAAATGGATGCCCAGGGCCTCCGTCGGGGCCCGCACTGGAGTGCTGTTTCGTGTCGCCATCGTCCAATTTGAGGTTGATGCTTGGTGTTGAGGTTGCCGACCGTGGGAGCTGCCATCAGACCGTGCTTTCAGGGATATCGTGGGAGTCGCCGTCGAAGCCGCGGCCAGCGAATTTGTTACCCGCAGAGCCGCCGCCACCGGAGAAGGTGGAACCGCCGTCGGAGCAGCCGTCGGAGCCGCTGTCAAGTTTGACGCTAGTAGAGCTGATATTGGAATTGACGCGGGGGCCGCCATCAGAATTTGCCATCAAGGCTTCCTCGTTGTCCTCCTGGGGGGGAAATACCGGCAATACCGTCGAAATTGACACTGGCCATATTAAGGATAATGATGGCGTCGTTGTCGGCGTGAAGCTAGTCATTGTAGTCAAAACCGCCGGCAGAAAATTCAAGGTTGGTAAAGGCATAGGCATCGAAACCCTTGTCGGAATCATAAATGGTGGTGTTGGCGCGGGTGGCCCATGCCAAACGCTGGGCCAACCAAGCTAATAGTGAGCACCTCTCCTCCGGAGCCCAATAAGCCTACGGAGGAATTGTTCACGCTTCGCGAATCCCCAATCCAAAAGCAGGCTGACCGTGAGATGTTTTCTCTTTTTTGTCCTCTTCTTTTGGCTTCTTTCTTTTTTTTTTGTTTCCCCCCCCCCGCAGCGCAGCCCACACACATACACCTCCAAGTGCCCTTCGCTAAACGCAAACGGGGTGAAACACGACGGAACCTGCACAGCCCCGGCGCGCGGTTAAGCAGGGAAAAGGAGGAGGAGGAGGAGGAGGAGGAGGAGGAGGAGGAGGGAAGGCGCCCCCTCCAGCCTACAGGACAGCGAGCTCGTCCAGCGGGCAGGGGGCTTCAAGCCTCAGAGTCGGGATATCTGACCACTCAGCACCATGTGGCTTACGGCTTTTTGCAGAGTAATGCCAAGGAGCCCCCACCATCTGTGTAGAAGGCCCAATATTGTACCCCGCCGTATTCGCACATGTAGGTACCTGTGCGGGCAGTAACCGCACGGGTTGTTTGCCCCATCTTCCAAACATCTCTGCCCCCAGACATTGTAGTGACCCCAGTCTTCTTGAAATAACGTCGTGATAAGTCACATTGTTGTTTTGTTCGGCCCTTTCCAACATCTTCCCTCCTTTGTTGTTTGTTCCGGAGCGCGGGCCTCCCGTGCGTGCAAGGGGAGATACCACAGTAACGTCGCAGAAGAGTGGCAACTTTCGATCGACATTGAGCCCAGGAACAATGATATCTAGCCGTCGGTCGTCGCCTGTTGGGATCGGTATGTGCGTTTCTCGGAGTAAGCGTTCCACACTTCTGTTTGGTATTTGCCCCCCTGCTTCCATTAGAACCTGTCGCTGCACATTCACCATTTGCGTATGTCTTGAGTTGAGCCTTCCATTATGGTTTAATGTCATTACGGCATGGCCATGCGGGCCCCGGCCGTCATATTTGACAGCAATATTAATCCGGCGGCGGATAGCACAAGACATAGTCTTATTATCCAATCGTAAATTGTCAGTAGTGGGGCATATGGTGAGCCATGTTGCTGCATATGGGCCCATACAGGAAAAGATCCGTGTCTTCCCCGTCGTCGCGATGTTTCTCCTGGCCCTATCTCCCCCCCCCCAGCAAGCGAAATAGTGCGGCATGTGCGGATGTTTCGATAGGGTCCGATGCGTGGAAGTGCCACCCATGGGTCCATTCGCCGAGAGCATGAGGATGTGGGTCGGGGGCAGGCGGCCTTTCTCCAGTAGCCAAGTTCTCCCACGTAGGTCGGCTGGTTCATCCCATGTCTGCGCAAACTCGCCCGGCCAGTTCCGCGGCCTTTAAGCAATTGGCTCGCCGCTCTGCCTCAGATGTGGTGTTGTATGTAACGCTCTCAGATGGTAAATGATGTCCCTACCAACCGTCGGGAACCGCTGTACCAAGCTTTCGATTGAGTCTGCCCAGCTGGCACAATATGCTGCGGGTGCGTACCGTACGGAGTCGCGCAATCCCAATCCGGCATACTTCAATGAAAGCTTTGCTTGGGCCACTCACGTGTCATAAGTGATTCCGTACACTGTTTCAGCCCATTCTTCTGGGTTTGGGATGCCGAGTAACGTTTTCAACGTGTTCAAAACATGGCTGTCGTGCGCAATGGCAGCAGTTTTGGATTGCGGTGGCGGCGTGGTCCGCAGCAAGTGGTTTAGCCTTGGCACTGCGCAGAAGTAGAGTAGGAGCCATACTGCCTGAAGCGAAGGGAGCTGACGTAATATTTGTAATAGTTTTGCCTTCTCCTCTGCCAGCGTGGCCCCGAAGGCCTCGACATATGCATCTGTGCCATCGGTGCGCGCAGCACTCGTAAACCTTGCTCTGCTGCGGGTTTGTCGTGTACCCATACGTTCGCCGCCCGCTGGGCCTGTCTTGGCGGGCACGGGTTGGGATGCTCGCTCCAGGCCGTAAGTTTCCCAATGTTCACATGGATGTGGCAAACCTCCTGTAGAGTATTGCGTGCTAGATCGTATATACCTGGGGCATCCGCCGCATTGCAAACGATATATATGTCGTCAAAATAAGCGACGGCGTGGGAACTTGGTGGGAGGGATTTTTGAAGTCGTTGTAAGGCGAGACCTATGTTGCTTCACATCAGCAATTTGGCCCCTGCTGACTTTTTTTTTTCCAAAATAATATATTGGGATGAAACGCTGCCGCTGGATAGATCGAGCACAATTGATCACAACACAAACGCTCCTGCGACCCCCGCCAAAATGGCAAGAAATGGTAAGCTCAGATCCGCATGGCTACATTGCAACCGAACCGCTTGATCACCATCTCGACCGAACTGGCGGAATTCGACCACGCGTCCGACAAAATACGTTCGACGAGGGATGCGCTGCACAATGCCCCGGCCACGAGCAGCGCTACGAGGGAAAGCGGGCCCTTCGATGTGTCACTTTCAGCGCCCGTGGAAGTGACACCTCCCAGGGCCCACTTAAAGAGTACCAGAAAGGCTCCAAGAAGGCCCCGAGAAGGCCACAGGGTGGCACCAAGAGGGCTTCCAGAGGGACCCAAGAGAGGCCCCAAGAAGAGCCCAAGAGGGCCCTCCGCGGTGTCACTTTCAACGCCCGTGAAAATGACACCTCCCAGGGCCCACTTAGGGCCTCAGAAAAGCTCTGAGAAGGCCCCGAAAGGGCCATAGAGAGCCGCCCTGGGCTCAACTCCGCGTGGCAGAGTTGGAAGCGATAACTTCAATACCCTACTGGAGGCCTCAGAGGGGCCCTAAGACGGCACTGAAGAACCCCATCGGGGCTTTTTCATCAAAGGCAGAGGAGGGCGCAAAAAGGAGCCTCAATGAGCCCCTGGTCTAACTCCACCTAGCGGAATTGGAAGCGATATCGCCGGGCGCCTTCATGGAGCCGCTCGGAGCTTCCAAGACGGCTCCAGAAGGCCCCAGGAGGGCCCCAAGAGGATCGAACGACGATTCCTGGAAGTGCACCAGTGAGACCCTTGTTGACCTCCGCCTGGCGGAGTTGGAAGCGACAATTTCCAGTGCCCTCTTGGGGCCTCTGGGGGGCCCCTCAGAAAGCTTTGGGGAGCACAGTGAAGGCCTTCGCAGGGCCGCGTGAGAGCCGTACCAGGGCCGCATGTGTGCGCGGATGGGGGCGACGAGTGCTGACGCTGACGAATATGAGAATGATGAGGGCGATCAAGGCTGGCCCGAAACAAATCCTGGCGCCATTGCAGGCCGCCGATTATCGGCCACGCCGCCAGGACGACGCCAAGCAACAAAACGACACCAACCAACAAACCGACACCAACCAACAAACCAACAAATCGACACCGGCCAACAAAAGGACACCAAGCAACAAAACGACACCAAGCAACAAAACGACACCAACCAACGAAACGACACCAACCAACAAAACGGCACGAATCAACAAAACGGCACTGACCAACCAAACGACAAATCACTTCACGACACCAATGAACAACGCGAAATCCACCGACCGCCAACCAAGCATAAAATCAACCGACACAACGAAACCAACCCATAGAGCCAGACCAACCACTGGATTCGTGAGTCGGGGTAGTCATGGAAGTGAGCCGCTGCAGCCCGCGGAAGCCATTAACAGTGACCAGAGCACCGCAATGCAGCAACGTCCCCGGGCGGCGGCGGGAGTCTTGGATCTCCCGCGGGACTGGAGCGTAGCGAGTTCGTCCTGGGTCCGGTTTAGTGAAGTGAAGAATTTCGGGGTGCTTGCATGGCAAAAACCTTCACTTCACTAATCTGGGGCCCCTGGAGCCCCAGGGCGTTTCAGGTCCCCTCGCTGTCTGGGTAGTCCAGGGGGCGCAGTGGCGGCTTACCAGAGGCCCTGTTCCCTAGCCTCACTTGCTTTCACCCGTGGTGCTCGACGGCCGTCTCGGAGCTGTC